ATCAAGAACTTGCTTAAAATTTCTGGAATTTCAAAGTATTACATTGCCTTCTTCACATGTTGACTCTGATGAGAATTCAGTTTCTTGAAATGCCTTCTCTCTACAAAAGCCACAGTGACTCTTCCCAATACATCATTTATTTAGATCTGACGCTGACAGTCATTCTGGTATCACGGATGTTTCATTTACTCTTCACAAGAGGGCACATTCCCATCGCTGGCTAATTTACAAGTCTGAGAAGTATCAGTTGCAAACATTCAACAGAAAGTTGCTTTAATCTGACAACTTAATTCTCTCAGAACTTCATTTACAGAAAGCCCATGTATTTTATTTCACTTCAGGGCTTTAAAAATTTGCTTTTTGCAACTTCTGCAATCCATTTTGGCATTACACAAAACTGACATTAGGAAGACTCTCTACAGCAACACAGAGAACACAACATAACATAAATGTAGAAGAATATTCACTGTATGTCACAATTATAAATAAAATTGTAGAAATAATTGAAGCAGAGTACGATGGAGAGCTGGATAATCACAGTATTGGGCTTGACCACTGAACAACCTAAACATGAAAAAGGAAGCAGAACACAACAGACAAGAAATCAGAATTAGGAACTTAACCTGGCAAGAAGAGAGACTACACAAAAATCCTGATGATGACTTGAAAAGGGGACACATAAACCCAAAGGAGTAAATACTGGTACTGGTAATAAGTACATCAGCTGGAAAGCTAAACCAAGCAAAGATTCAGAACAGCAAAGAGAGAGGCTGGAAGTGAGAAGTAAAAAGAGTAAAGACATTTTTCTCAAGAATCTGCACCAAAAGCAAACAATGCAGACTCAGCATAGTTTCATTTTCAAAATTTGACACAAATTACAAAACACAGGCTCTACAAAAGAATTACAACATAGTGTCTCTACTTGTTAATAATAGGTAAGTCGAAGTGACTCCAATCCGTAAAGACTGTTCACAGAGGTGGGACTGTGCCACAAACTGAAGCCCAATTTTGGTCTGGTCTTTTTTTAAGACTCTGGGAAAATGTTGCCAAGATAACATTCAATAGGTTTTCTCATCTCTGCATAGTATGATACAGTGAAGATACACTACTCCTGACAGAACTGGTTTCATACTCATAGTCTTCCATATTCATCACAATATCTAAAGAAAAGCACTTGAAAATTTACTTTTCCCAACAATCCTTCACAGTAAGAATATGTTAGCTTTTTTTTTTTAATAACAAATTGAAGCACAGAGATACAGGTATATTTATTTAGTAGCTAAATTGAGATATACAGTTTTTTTCAGAGTACTCCCATCAGCTTCAGATGTAGCTCTTAACACTGAGCACTTATTAATACCAGCCTACAGAGCCATGAGCTGCGTATCACCTCCCAAGAGAGGCACAAATAATGCTGAAGTGAAAGTATGACAGACGTGGCCAGCCCAGCATCACACAAACTCTGACTAACAGGTCTAGAGCAACTTTCAGTTAGTTCAGTTTTCCTGTTGCATTCTTTTAAACTACAACAGATAGCACTAAGGTGTGGTAGAAAATGGCCCTTCCCTTCATAACACAGCCTGTCCATACAGTTTGAAAATTAAATCCTGGACATTACAAGACAGGAATCTTACGGGGGCAAAACAGCATATGATCATATATCATAATGCATACACAGAGGGGAATTAAATGCAAACTATTTTTATTCTTAAATTTCTTAATGCTTGACTACCTGATTCTTTTCATTTTACAATACTACTCGTGTGTTGCGAAAGTATTGGTTATTCTTTGAAACACTGAAAACAAAAGCATCCAGTGAAAAAGATCACTAATGTCAAATACGAATACAGAACATGGTGAGACAAACAAGCGAACAGGAGCTGCCGGAGCTCTGCCGGACAGCCAGGCACTCTGCTGGTGCCACCTGCCGGGACAGCCCTGCCATGCACACAGGTACCACCTTCAGCTCTGGCACTGAGTCACGCTTCCTACAGCATCGGCTGTACTGAGAGTGAAGAGCTGGTTGTAACCTGCCTCCAAAGACACAGCAGTAAGACAACATAGGTTTTATTACCACCTGTCATATACCCTCAGTGCACACACAAAACATCTGCTGTGACTCTTCAGCCGAAGGTACCCGTAACAAATCAGTCCATTGTGTTAAGCCTCTGCCCCACACAGTCAGCAGCTAAGAGGAAGACAACGGAGACTTCTCACTGCAAGGGAAATCCTGGTAATTCCCGAGCTTTTTAAACACATATTTTAAAAGTTGTAAAAGTAACTATAATATCAAAGCACCCTCCTTATCTGGAGAATGTGATTGAGTGTGGAACTCCTACACTTAACACACAGCCTACAAGATTGGACACCTCTTGGATGGAAGGAAACAGACCCCTCTCCCCACACACCTGAGAGTTCAGAAATGAAATACAACCAAAGAATAATTGGCACTGTCACAATACAAAGTAGTTTGACACAAACTATTCAATACTAGGAGAATTACAGTCTTGCTCCTGTTCTAAAGTACCACACTTAAAAAAAAAAATATCCCTGCAGCATAAATGGCAGGGAGGAAGTATCACAAACGCGGTACAGGAACAGAAGCTATAAAAGTAGCAAAATCCAGTATGTATTCATAAGACTCCAAATAGGAAAGCTGCTTTATAAACTAGAAAACCTTAAAAAAAGAAACTGAAGTATTAGAAAAGGAACTAAAGTAAATACCCTACTTTGAACTGATACAGAAACAGATATCCAAACCAATTGACTTTACACAGCTGTAGATAAAAAGAATAAGAATGACACGGAAAGGATTATTTTGGATAAAACAGAATTTCTGGAGCATTACATAAGCCCAGAGAATAGTTCACAGACCTTTTAATATCTGGCATACAGTAAAGGAGATCACCCCAATCATCAGACAGATGAGATCTCAGCTTTGTCACTACATCAGTATAGTTACATATTAGCTCCTTGCACAGGTTCAACAGAAGTGGCTGAGAGAGACATCAACTCTCTTTCTGAGCGTGTGGCAATATTATTATTATTATTATTATTATTATATTTTTTAATGGTTAAATAGTCAAAGAAACTCAGTCTTGTAGCTTTATCATTTTCACATCAAATAATCCTATTGGTATTTATTGCTAAAGAGAGAATCCTGAATGTTGGTCCTCTTTTTCTTCAACTTTTTTCCTAGTATTGCAGGTAGAATACAAACAGTTTTACTTAAAAGAAGATCATAACCCTTTTCCAATATATAGTACAGGGTTCTTCACTGTTTCTTCACATTACAAATAATCCAGAATCCAAATAAGACATTCACATTCAGCTGTAACTCTTTCCTTCTCCTCCTATTGGTTTACTACAGATTTCATGTTACTTTATACTGAAATTACTAGTACTCATTTATGAGAACAATTCAGGTCTCTAATAACTCCTTTGGTTTATCAGAAAACATAAGTACTTATGTCTGGAAGATAGCTTTGAACTTGATCATTCCAAAGCTATTTATTACTGTTGATGGTAATAATCAAAAAGAACGTAATGAGTTTGTTCGACAAATACTGAAAATATAAAATCATGAAACATGCCATACAGCAAAAGCAAATAAAGATAAATTAGAAATATCTACAGCAAGAGTACTGAAAAGTATGACAAGAGAGAATCCGGATGATTCTGAATTATTGGTACTTACCTGATCACATAAACATCTGTGACACCAGCCGTGTGAACCCACAATGGGGATGTGGGTTCCTATTACTTTACTGATTTCACACAGGTACCTTACAACCACAGAGGAAATGCAAAGCCCAGAAGTTGAATCCATTCTTCAGAGAAAAGCCTTTTCTAATCACAGATGTACTTATCTCTGAAGTTTGATATTTCAGCAACAACTCCCCAGCTGGAAGCCACTCCAGTCTACTACTTGCCCTCCTTATCTATCTTCAATCCTCAGCCTCATCATGCCCAGTCCACCCTTTGCCCGTTACTTTCTGGGTTCTCTGCGTTCAGATCTTAACCTTTGACTTTCCTTTCCTAACACAACCCACTTCAGCCATCTTTCCCAATCAATCCTATTGCCATTCTCCACACTTCAACCATTTCAGCCCATTCCAGACCCTTACGCATTTCATCTTCTTGCATTCCTTGACTCTTAGTGCAGGACATCATCCTGAAATTTTCTGTCCAAGTTCCTTCTCCTCTCCATTCTTTCCCTGGACCCTGTGAAGTCTCTAGATATTCTGGCAATTTGTTCAATCAATCTCCGTCTTCCTTCTTTACTTCAGCTGTTCATCTGCTCTCAAGTTATTTCTTACACAAGTCAAACCCTTCTTTCCTTTCATTCTCAGATTCTGCTTTCTTCCCTATAGTCCCAACTCCCAGTGACTTTCTTTCTCTTCCATTCCTCCCACTGTCATCAGGTCACCTGTCACAAGCCACAAGTCCTTTCTTACAAGCATCCAGGCTCTGGAGAGGCACATTCACTGGCAACAGCTCTGTTGGACAGCAACTTGTGTTGTGTACCAGCAATGGAGAAAGTCATGCTTCACTTTTGTATTCCTTTACTGCAGCACAAGGCACTGCCATAGCCTTAAGCACACTTGCTAAGCAACAAACCTTCAGAGATCTCTACCAGTGAAGGTGGTATTTGCAGAGCTTAGTTCAGATTTCTAACTAGGGAAAAAAGACAACTTCTAGCTTTGCCAAGGTAGCGGTGGAAATTATATCAAGATGCAGAAGCACAGCTAGCTGTCTGTGAAAGAACTCCAGTATAATTCTTTTTGGGTTTAATACAAAGCACACATTTGTATGTGGTGCATTAAACGGCAATAAAACTAATTCAAAAGTTTCCAAAACTTAACAGAAAAGAGTAAAATTGTGGGAATTTTAGATTACAACTTGGTACCTGTTTGAAAGCCAGGTTATTCTAATAATCATGAATAATGATTACTATTTTAATCATTGCAAGTGCATACCATTACCAAAATAACACCTACCTCTCATAGATGGTTTTTAAAGTCAGCTGATCTGAAACACCTTCCGTCTCTTCAAGATGCAGTATGAGCCACGAAGTTCTATAGGGCCACTGCTCTGTGAGATTGATCCAGCTAGCCAGTCTGTCCCAGTTGAATGTAATCTGATTAGCTCTCAGTAAACGACCTAGTATAACAAGGAGGGAGGGAAGAAACACAGAGGACTTCTTTCCCTTTTGAAAGACACCTTTTTTTTTTCTCAAAGTAACAGTTACTTAAGTCCTTTAACCTGATCTGCAAACTCAGTGGTATTACATCTTTAACTCATTAAGTTCAAAATCATCTCAAGCCATAATCTGCCATATAATTTGACATAATTTGTTGCATAATTTGACAAGCTAATAAAAATTCTTGCAAATATTGGTCAGAACACAAGACTAAAATTAAGCTTGAGCTTTTGCCAAGATTTTTTTTTCTGGTTAAAGATCATGCCAATTCTGAGAAAAGGTTCATGATGCCCAGAAGCCTCATACTATACAATAGCAAATAACTAGCGTAAAAAGCTTCAGAACCTAGGGGAAAATAATCTCTTTTGTTATTCCAGCCCCTGGTGACCTGTGGTTCATTGCTTGGTTTCCATTAGCACTTGATGAATTTTAAATTTCAGGTATTTATTTGTTTCTGAATCTATGCAAGCTTCCCATATCCATATGAAACTGTTGCAGAGTTATGCACTTAACTATACACAGTGTGAAAAGTAACTCAAATTGTTTGTTCTGAACCAGTTAAGGCTGTTCAGTGCTTTTTAGTGTCTGCAATAGAAAAAGTAAATAATCATTCCCCATTCACTTACTACATGAAACATGATTTTATTAGACTTCCATAAGCCCTTTTTCCAATTCTTTCCAGTTTTTAAACCTCAAAGACACCAATGTCTCGACTGCGTTTTTTAAAGGAAAAGAAGTCATAAAACGCTTTCATGACCCCCTGACATCCATTTAGGATAACCAAACATCCATAGCAAAATTGTAAAGGATACTTACCTAGTTCTGCCTCACAGTTTACCTTTTCAGATACCAGTACTATGAGCTTTATTCACATTAAAGTATTATGAAATAAAAAAATGCATTTCATTATCCCACTTCTAAATTAAAAACCAGAAAACTTCCTAAAAACATAGACTAGAATAATTTTATACTCTACATAGACTAGTCTATAATCTTTGCTTACACTCTAGAAGAGTTTGCTTCAGAAGAATTTTCAAAATCAACACAAGGGCTGACTTGTTAAAATTTAGTTTACACACTAAAAAGTCTGAGTGTAACTACAAGCAACCAAAACATAATACTGTGTGCTGTACACAAATGTGTGACACTTACCTGTCACTGAAACAATATTTAGCAATCTTCTCATGGTCTGAGGACTGATATCACTGAACCAATCCTCTGTAACCAACAGCTTGGTCAAATCAAAAGACATTTGGCGGGTAATGGTACGTTGCATCTGGCGTCTTCGGTAAGTATCCTGATAATGATACAAAAAAGCAAAGAGTACTGATTAGTATCAAAAAACTTCTATGTATTTGAAATACTTCAGTTTTACTTGATTATAAATTTACAACGTTTGTGAATATGTGTCCGTGAAGTTGACATGAAATACCATAAAAATATTTACCAGAATTGAATTCTGATTTAGCTATGTAACAGTGACTTACATATAAGCCAAGAACTGGTAAAAGTTATACATTTTACTTGCACACCAATTCTGAGAGGGCAAAACTGTGAGATGTTTTGTAAAGAGATCACTAATTTCAGCATTACCATCATCATTTCCTCCTGCCTCTTCAAGAGATTAACGTCATCCGTTCACTAATGACATTTTAAAACTCAAGTGAACATAGGTTCCTCTGGTACAAAACTCCCCCCATCTCTACCTATGGCAGCTCAAAAACCTCAGAATCCTTAGACTCTGTGTTGCTTTTCATGCCTTCTAGATACCTTTTATTCACCCACTTTCTGATTTTACATAAAGATGGGAAAACAGAAAGCTGGAAAGACAGCGTGGTGAACATGTTGCAGTAAAAGTCTAGTACTATTAATATTTTAAACTCCTTGGTTCGCTCAATTATTGACCCTTGTTGTAGCATCCTGTGATCAGGTGATACTGGGTTTACACGAGAATCCAAAATATACAATCATTCATAGACCACTGCTACTACCAGTATGCTGTATCATCTCTGTATTCAGAGAGCTGAATTTAAGTATTTGTGGAAAATAACACTTTGGTGAGCAAGTAAACTTTTTCCTCTTTGATAGAGCATCAGTCTACTGATTTAGGAATGTACTTTTCCTACACAGATAATTTATATTAATTTCATAGGAATGCTTTGATAAGTCTTCCAAGTTGACACCATTAAAAATGTGAAAGAAAAAAGAAATTAATAGAAAAATATCTCTGTAATAGTACCAGTATCTCCATTTAATCTAAAAATCTCTCTCACCCGCCTATTGAGAGCAGTTTTGCTACCAAGCTTGGTCATATCTCCAAGGCTGTTCTGAGAAACTCTCCTGTCAACCTCTTCATGCAATCCTATGAAAAAAAACCAAAAGGCAGGCATTTTCTCCATTCATATACATTTGACTGATCTATAAAATAACACAAATGATCTGCCAATTATTTAAACAGTTTGTTCCAAAAACCAGATTTCTGGAACACTGGTTTTGTAACTTTTGTATCACCATCCTGCATAACCTTACCTGCATTATCTGTATAAGGAATATCCCCATTGGTTGTTGAAGCTACCATTAGTTTTTTCGCATTACTAAGCCCTCGGCTATTCAGAAAAACGGGCAAATGGACTATGTTTCGCATGTAATCATGTCCATTTATGTTTGAATCCCGCAGAACGCTGTTGAGATTCTGGTTAATAGCCTTTATAATAATATGCGGGTCACTTGCAAAAATAGCAATAAATGGGCCTTTTGAAAACAAGACTCTCACCTGTAAAAAAGTAGACAGTACACCTTGTTAATAATAATTAACAGTATCTGTGGGTCATTTGAAGGTCTGACTCAATATTTTATATCCATTCTGTTGCAGACATAAATTTGAGAGGACAAGAGATATATAGAGATGTCAGTTTCTTCAATGTGATATATGTAATGTTAGGAACTTATCCATAATTATAAATAAGCATACTTGACAAATCAGCAGTAATAGTTACAGTGGAATTCATCCCCAAGATGGTATCATGCAGCAATGTCCCAGCCTCGATAAATATTTAGCATTTCAGTATTTTTCATCTAAAGTATTTCAAAAGTAATTTCGAAAAACTTCCCAAACATTGTTAAGTTTGTTTCAACAGGATATTAATTTTCAGTCATTTACATCTGATTATTTCAAAACTTTTCACAAGTATTAAAATGTACAGTCCTACTGGGATTTAATTTTCAACTTTTAAAACCCACCTCTCTTAGTATTACAGCTATGACAATGTACGCAGATGTTAAAAAAGTACAGCACACAAACTCTGTATACATGCCTTCTTTCTACAGAAAATATACAATAGCTATATTTATCTGGGCTCATCTGTGGAAGAGATCATCTAGATGATCCAGAGATCATCTTTATAAAATGATCCAACTCACAGTATCTAGCATCTGTAGAACTTTGTCCTGTTCGCAAGCATCCAATCCATCAATAATCACAACAAGCCTTGTCTGGTTCTGAGTGAAGCTGTCAATGGTTTTTGCCATTCTAGCCATCAGTTCCACTTCACATTTCAAAACCTATAAAAATGAAAAGCAAAGAAGGAAAAGACACTGCTACATTACTTCAAACTCACAAAAAAGCATATAATTCCTTTTGAGGACTGCTACTTGTCCCAAAAATACTTCAATAAGATTATTAAAATAAACACTTATAAATGTCCAAAGAGAGAGTCCTGAAATGCAATTTCCAAAATTCTAATTTCCTATTTGCACAAAAATATACAGCAGAATCACATATTCCACTTCAGTGTAACAAACCATCCTTATTTAAATTCCATTACAATGTTGGTTTTTTTAAAAAAAGTACTATTTATGCACTGAAAATCAGTATTTCAAGAGTAAACAAAAGAGTATTTGTAGCTTCGGTTAATCCTAAAAAATGGCTTTGCATAAAATGTACACTAACATTTTCTTTCAGCCTTCCAGCCAAGCAAATTATGCTATTATTTTAATGCTTGGTCACTGCTATTCAGATTATACAATCTGATGATTTTTTAAGTTTTTCAACATTAAATCACACATTTAACAACTATCCTCAATATAGAAACAAAGGTAGAATTTGTCTGCCCTAATTTCAGCAACTATCAGGTAGACATTAAAATCTGATCTGTTCACCACTAGATTCATCCTGAATGCACGTGCACGTTAAGATGACATAAATCAGATTAATAGCTCTCCTGAAATACCCACTCCTCTCCTTTCACTGCAAAGGGTGAATCTAACTCCTAAATGGCTGAAGTTATGCCAGGTAAATACCACTCAAAAACCAACTGTCAAGAAAGAGCAGCAAGGCACAGACAAGGTCTTTTGTCCTACAAAAATATTTGCTCAACATATTGTTATAGAACGCATTAGCTGTTACCTGTGGAGGCTACCATCATGATGGTAAAGTTTATGTTCAAATAGGAGCATACAGGATATTCAATGACAGCCTGATGGGTACATTTTTTATCAATTTAGATACAGTGCAGTGCATTTTTCTATCATTTTTCATGAAATATGTGAACTGTTCTGGAATGTTTTTTCAGTGATAAAGAGGTCTTGCAGACAGCCAAAGCTGGGCTTGGTTTTTCACCTTTAGAATACTTCAAAAGTTATTCTTTCTAATCTTAGGATCTTAAGCAAGCTTTTACTAAATACTCATTATTGAGAACAACTGTTTTCCTAGTACCTTCCTCCCAGCAAAAATAACATTAGAAACTAAAGACCTAACCCAAATTTAACACTCCTGGTTGAGCAGACAGATCTCATACACTAAGCATAACTACCAGTGTAACAGAAGTGTTCCTTTCAGTAAAAACTCACCACGATTCACTCTAACATTGCGAGACTTGGCCTGATTAAACAAATGGCACCCCATCTTAAGAAGGCTACAGGTTTGGTGTTTTGTTTAAATTCTTTTAATGGCCAATTCATATAAATGCTTACCTTCATGAAACCCTCACTTTTCAACTTGTGAAGCTTGGAGGCAGCATTGTGAAGACGTTTTCTTTGAGAATTTAGAACTGAATCCATCACTTGCCACCACGTGCGACAATTCAAGATAAAGGCCAAACCAACAACACAGGTTACCGTTATAAGAATAACATTCACTGTCATGTTGGCTGGCTCTACATTAAAAATGGCCAGCAGGGCAATTGCAGAAACAACGCAAGACAGTATGAACAGGAAAATCACAAAGGACGGGAGACAGCAAGTCTTCTTCCATTTCTTTTTACCTAGGAAACAAGTATTTGCTGTTAAAATGAATGTAAATGTAACTACTGGCAAGTACAAAGTCTGCAACTTGCATACTTTCCATAAAACACTAGCTTGCACAAAAGCTTACTGCAGCATTACCATCCAGTCAAACATGTGAAAAAAACTGCCTAGATTTGCCAAAATTATTGAAAATCATGAAGCAGAGATATTCCTTTTATCTTCAATTTATTTCCCTTGTTTCAAGAAATCCACAATGGATTGAAATGATCTTTATTAAGTAGATTTCATAATCTCTTTTGTGATCTCTGTAAATTGTATTTATTCAAGTAAATCCTAGGAAAACAGTACAGTAACTACCCAGTGTTAAACCAAAACATGATACTTACATAATGTAATAGTAATGGTGCCACTGGAGAACTACATCAAAATTGCAAGCTAAAACCTGAGCCTATCCTTTCTTCCATGCTAAAGCATACACAAACAAGGGAGGACAGAGGTATGAAAGGTTTGGACAGATCACAGGAGCCTCAGAAGAGAATATAAACCACCTGACTTTAACTGGATTGACAGGGAAGAGATAACGGAACATTGCAGTTGCAGGTTAGCACAGCTAAGGCAATGATGAAAAAAATAGCTTTTTTCCAAAGTCACAACCTCTGCCTTTGGACTCTGTACAAGCATAGAAATTCAACACTTATCAATGCCAAAGAACAGAACATAGTAATAAACTGATGCAAAATTATGATGGCTAAAAATCAGTATTTGAACTTGCATGGAAAAATAAAATTTAAAATATGCTAGGTGCAAAGAATAACCATGGCCCACATGTGATATCCTAGACTGGGGTATGAGCTGCAAAAGTCTTGCACATTACTGACAGATGTGACAGAAAGGATTGCGATGCAGGACAAAGCAACAGCAATGAGTAACAACAGGAGTAAGGGGCAAGAAGGGAAGAATAACAGCTCAGTTATAATTACATTCAATTCTAGACATTTCAAAGTAGGGATATAAGCTCCTCTAACTAGAAAGAGAAAGAACTGGATTAGAGAGAGACTTAGGAACCATCAACAATGAAATGGCAACTGTCTGCAAGTTTACAAGCATAACAAAAAGTAAAGATAAAGGAGAATAAAAAGAAACCTATTTGGAATTTCTATGAATATCTGAAGACAAGAAACCTCTAACCCTAGATCTAGTAAGATCCAGACAAGAAGATCTGCCATAGGATCCAAAAGATAAAATTAAAAAAAAAATAATTAGAGAATTAGGAAGAACACAGGAAGGCAACAGAGTCAAGGAATACAAGAGAAAGGTAAGACTACAAATGAAGGGGAAAGCATGATTACTGCAAATGATCAGAAGCAGCCAACACTGCACTGCCATTCTTTAAGTCAAACCTTATTTCAGGAGAAACTACAGCACCAGGAAAACTGTTCTGCTGAAGTTAGGAACTGGAGAATGTCTAACATAGAAATAAAGGTGAAAGACTCCACGTATCACTTTCATAAGGAACATTCAGTGACACTGAGAAAGAACAATGAGGAGTAAGTTGTGTTTAGCACGTAGCACGGTTTTTCCCCACTCTCTGCAAGACAGGAGAGATGACACATTTCACTTCGTGAGAGGAGACAGCATCTACAGATTCCTCACTTTGTAGTCAAGGTCAAAACAAAATGAGAAGGAACTGACTGAAACTGAACTCAAAGTAGGAATAAGATCTCTATGAATTGAAAGTTACCCTCTAGAACTCCCTTTCTTCACAGTACCATGCTCTGTTCTGCATATATTTTTCAGAAATCTGCTGATGCTTCAGAAGAAAAAAGGTTTGTTCCATTTGGATCAAGCAGGAATATTTCATCCCATCTTACCCACACTGATCACAGCAATTTATGGGTTTGGACCAATGTGTTCTAAACATTTATTATTTCCAAGAATAAGTAATGGTCACTTATAAAAGCTCCAAACAAAAATCTACTAAACTAAACAGAAACTTCCCTTAGCAGGACAGAAAAGCATACTTTCCCCTTTATCTGACTCAAGACACAATGACTTAATTGCTATGGAAAAATATAAATCTCCATTGACACTTCTGAAAACTATACTTCACAGAAAATATCCCTTTACCATATTAATAAAAAAGATGAGCAAATAAACAAGGGCATTTTTCTCTCCAAAACAATGGAAAGAGTTTGCCCTGCTGTATGAATTCCTGCATGGCTACCAGTTTCTAAAAAGAGCTTATAACGTGAAAAAACAGAACCTTGAATGTTTGCAGGTACGGGGCATCTACCAACCCCCGTAACAGTGCATTGAAATGGAATAACTGGAAATGTCACTCAGGTAATAAAAACCTTGTGTATCTTCTGTCTTGAAAACTCGAAATAGCCTTGTTGCTAGGAAACCAAATTCCCGTTCACATGCATCAGAGAGAGTAGCAATCATCTCAGCCAATGAGGTTTCTCCACCTACACTGGACAGTCTATTGTAGTCTGTAAACAAAAACCTGGAAGAGAAAAAAACAAGTATTTTGTATACTTTAGAAAGCTTTTAAATACTTTCTGCCAACAAAAACCTTCCCGCATCTCTGTAGCTAAATTTTTTTTCACGTGGTACAAAACGTAAGAAATTTAAACACTTAATACTTAAATTCAATGTATTTCATTATTTTTTCTCCTCTAATCAACCTCTTATTTGCCCCATTTCCTATTCTAAAACTTGATTTCTTCAAAAGATAAAAATGATCACATCACTAACGTCACCTCAGACAGCAGTAAAAACATAAAAATATCTTTATGATGCCAAAAGATAATATTGGAAAGTATTTTTAAAACTGCATTCTGAGCTGTTTGCAAGCATTTATGGAGCATCAGAAAAATACTGAAAAACAAGATCACATAAAAGCACCACGATGCTAAAATAGAAGTCTCTAAACAATAGGAGTAAACAAAACTATAAAACACATGGCATAAATTTTCTTGCTTTCAGGTAAACTTTGAGCAGTCTGATGCTCTACTTACAGGAAGAAAAAAGAAGACAACAACCACCAAAAAAAAGACCTTCTAACAGAAGTAATCAATGAAACAGGCATTAAACATAATACACATTAAGCAGTACCAGCAAACTAAATTATTACTGTGTCTGCTTACAGACTTTCATTAGTATGACAGCCAAAACCCCTAATGCTCAGAAGGAGTAACTTTCACCAACTTAGGCACAGAGTTGGTTTGGCTGGTTTTTTTTTCGTGAAAACACGACTATCTTCTTCACACTGAAAAATTTAATTACGTGATCTTGTAGGGCTACTGTTTTTCAAACAGGAATCTCAACAGCTTTTCATAGGTGGATAAAGATGCACATTAATATGCACAGTTTGAAAAGTATCAGAGTGAACTTGAATTACTCATTCAAGAGTAATAAACACAAGAACTAACCTGACAGGTAAGGCTTTAGTGGTTTGCTCTGGTAATTCTGGTGGGTTCACAAACATGAGTTTGAGAAGCAACTCTAAATATCCAATATGTCTTGCCAATCTTGCACTTAATACCCAGGCCCAGTTCCAGCTCTCACCTTCTCTTCGGCCACCAAAGTAAATTACAGCTAAAATATTAAAAATTAAAAAAGATGTTATGGCTAAATTTCAGTCAACGCTCACAACTGAAAAAAACCATGAGGTTTGAACAGGTAAGGCATGGATTTGTGTAAAAGGAGTTGAATGAATTTTTAACAGTTATGGCTAAAAATGAGAATAGTAAGAGTAACACAATGAATTTAGTGTACAAAATTCTTCTCTGTTTTCAAGAATATCCTCTCCCAAATTACATACAAAACACAAGGAAAGGGTCTGAAGGAGTCCTATTTTCTAGAAAAACATTTAGTATTTTTCTGAATCATAAAGTATGTCTACAAAACAATATCAAATTACAAAAAGAGATAAAAACCTTCACATAAAATAAGACTTACTAAAGAAAATGTAGAGAACTGCTAATAAGCTGAGTGACACGGCTATTCCAAGCTTTGCATCCACTGTGAAAGCAAGCAATAAACCCAAACCACCACACAGCATAACCGTGAGGAATACAATAAGCCAGGAGAACTGAAACAGAGGTTCAATCTGCTGTCCTGCAAAAGTCTTCATTTCATCTAAAACAAAAAGACAAAGACCAGTTAACAAGTTAAATCATTCTAAAACAGAAAGCAAAAAAGATAGCATCTTTGTAAAGAAACACTTTTCCACTGGACTGTATAATTTTTCCCTATTATTGACCCAAAAAGACAATGATGCTTGAATTCTTCTTCGAACATTAGTGCAAAACCCCAAGTTTTCGCCCATGCAATTAATGAAACTATTTAATTACATTATACTTGCGCTGTTTGCTGCAGATTTTCTAATTTTAAAGGCATATTAAAAGCCATGCCATTTCCTATCCTCCTTCAAAAGTTTAAAACCTATTTTATGACACCAAGAAAAATAAATCCACCGTATCTGTCAAAACACATTCCAACCCCCAAAACCTCCATCATTGAAATCTGGACCATGTTTCTCAAATGGTCAGATATAACAGTACAATATAAGGGCTTCAGTACCTATTTCTCTTTGTTGATTCACATTTACTAAATCAGGTATTCCTGAAGAAACCTATTTATGATCTACTGAATATTAAATATTAAATACACAGTCCAGAATAAAAGATGAATGAGGAACAGGAAGAAAAGCCACACCTCTTTTTGTTTATGACATGGGGCATAAGGTGAAGAAAATGAACGCAGAGACCCCATTTTGATCAATATAGAAGCTTCTAAAAACAGGAATCACAGAAAGTAAGAAACATCAAGACTGGTAAAAGTATTATGGATTACGCTGAAATATCTCAGAAGAACATCCTTTGATAGAAAATGCTAAATAAGATGCCTATGGATGAACTGACCACACTAAAGTTTAACTCCTTTCATTACAGAGACATACATGGACCAATGGCTGTTGCAAAAACTAGTAACTCCCATGTGATGCTTTTTATAGCTAGATTTGAATCTATAGAAAAGGCTAAATCAACTTCACCTTCCAGTTTCTTGAGCAGGAAGGATTTTCCACTTCCCCACTGTGCATATAAGCCTACACAGATAGGTGGCTGCATGGTTGGTTCACTCAGAATGTCAGCCAAAGCACTGCTGTACAGATCGTAGCCCAGCATGTCACCATCAGACTCCGTAGGAGACAAGTGTCCTGTAACACAAATACTATGTTACACAACTGTGCTTTAGAAATCTTTTCACTATGACAATTTTCATACATAAAATCATGACAGGATCACCTATATTCATATATATTCCTCACATAAAATAGCTGTTATTATTGGTACATTCTTGTTCAAAGGAATCTTAAATCATCCACATAAATGTTACATAGTTCTCAAAACCATTAGAGTTTACCACAAGAGACTCTAAAAAATCCCAAATCGCAGCAAGTCAAGTAGAATAATTACTACACAAGCAAGACCTAAGCAAAAACAAAATAATCAACAGAAGTTGCACAGTATCCAATGTCTAAAGTCAAAAATAAAATGGACATTTGACCTTTGTTAGGCTTTTAGAGTGATGAATTTTTTGGCCAACTGATTTTTATTTTTAAAGCTCTCCCATTAGTTGCAACATTAAAAAACTAAACAGTTACCACTCTTCAATAGAGAATTTAATAAACTGGATTCTCAATATAAAAGTGATTAAAAATTATAAAATTAAGTAGTTATACTTACTGGCTCCAAATATCTGTGTTAAAATACTCTTCTGGTGGCTACAGTCAATATTGTAAGGTGTTTCTCCTGTTTTGTTGGGTCTATAAAGCAATCTACCATCTTTTGGGTTCCTTAAGAGTAACTCAGCAAGTTTACGGCTTCGTCCACGAATGGCAATATGAAGTGGAGTATCTCCTTTCTGCAATTTAAGTGAAAAATAGTAATATCTCACATGAATTCCTAAGGTTATGAACAGATCATATGTTCCACATTGTTTCAGATGTGTTATCTACTTGAAATACATCTTAAGGTATTCTCAACAGCATTAACATCTTACAGAAAAGATATGCACAAAGGCAGTCCTTATAATGCTAAATCTAAGGCACTGTCTTCTTTTGCAAAGATTTATAATAATACTTTAAGGTTCAGGGAATCTGTAGTCTCTATTTAGAAGCAAGCGTCCACTAGCAAATTCAAACTTGTTTGGAACAAGAGATACTGCTTGTAAGAATTATTTCAATGTCTGGTCAGGTTTCTTCAAAAACTTTTCCAGTAAAGTTTCCTTATTACATCAAATCAGCATTATTACTTATTTGCCCTAAATATAATGCTAAGAGGTTAAAAAAGTATCAAACAAATGTTCCTGTATGTCATGGTTTACGGCTGGGTTTACAGGTTTAAAAGGTTTACAGTCAAAGTAGGTAATGCATCAGAGGACAGCACAAACCATTGTATTTGTCCTTGGCATTGCTTAATTTAATGTCTATTAAGCAAAACCAAACATCAGTGACAAACAACAACCATTCTCTATGCTCTTTTTCAAGTGTATTAAGAATCAGTATTCTTATCTGTGAAATTTTTATTCCTGGCCTGAATTTTTTTTTCCATATTACTAAAAGCATATAAACAAAATAATCATATAAACAAAATACTCCAATAAATTAATGGTGGGAATTAATTTATATTGAAGTACTCTGGTCTATTTAATTATTAAGCATATAGAAGATTAAGCATTTAAGTATTATGGTCTACATAGTTACTAAGCATATGGGAAGCTCTTTCTGTAGTAGCCTTGAGAGCTCCATACAAAATTCTGCTGCAGAAGTAAATGGTTAAATACACTGAAGCAAACAAACAAATATTCTTTACCTTGTCTACAGCAGAGACCTTAGCTCCTTTATCCAGAAGAAGCTCTACTATTTCAATATTTCTCATCTTGGTTGCCTTTATAAGCGGCGTTTCTCCATCCTAAAAGCGAAAAGTAGGCCTGTTACTAATAATGTCAAACAGAGAAAGACAAGATTCAGATAAAATACAATATATTTGAAAAGAGAGTCTCAGAAGAGGTAATTCACTGCTGTACATACTAATTTCTCTATTTCTTTTTATTCCTGCATGTGCAATAAATGGTGGTCTGAACTTCCATGCTTAGTAGTATCAGAAAACACTTTCCTCAGTTTCCAGCAGCCCTCAGTCTCTACTCCTTACCGCTGGTCATGTCAATGATGCAGAGGTAAAGTAACTGCACTTTCCATGCTATCAAGTTTTCATAGTAGGTGATGTTTATCACAAAGGCGACATTACCATTGCTGAGAATAAATTCTGTATTTCAGAATATTTTTTTTAATGGCGTGCAAGGTACCAACACTTCACAAAAGCTTTTAGTATTACGATCTTAATGTCACATAGGAGTTGAGAAAAGAACAAATGTTAAAGCAATTCAATTCAAATTCTCTTTGTTACCTTTGTACATGTTTCAGTATCAGGGTTGCACTGTAAGATATCCCTCACCATTGTAGCATTTCCTTTCTCAACTGCCCAATATAAAGCAGTTTTATTATCCTGAAAAAAGATAATATTAAATGTTAACAGTACTTGCTTTCATTTTGATTCATTTAAAAAACTATAAGTAAAATTAAAAATACGATACCAATAACAGCAAATAACAGAGCAAATTTTAGCATAGTACAGAGCAAAGGGAAATGTTACCAAATCTAATTGGCACTCCAGTAGAATTTTGTAGAGGGAACGGAAATCTGGCCACAGAACACAAATGTATTTTACAAACTTGTGCAAAATATATTAAAAGCTTTAACAATCCAATCAGATTCAACCTGTCTTGAAACAGTTTCCAAAACTATATACGGGCATACAGTTATAACTCAAATATGCAAGTTTTCTAATGAAATAAAATAAGTTTTCCTAGAGTACTGTATTTTAACCCCTATTATGTAAGTCATGTTTCTCTGTGCCTTTTTTTTTCTTTTAAAAAATAAGATTTCTCTCCTATTAGAACATGGAAGTGCTAATCACTTCCAGGCCTTTAAAAAACTTCCCATTTTCTTCTCAATTTTACAGTATAGCCTAATAAAACTGATAAATTGGTTGGCTGGCCATGCAAGCTGAAAAGCTGTAAAAGCAGACGGATGTGAAAGTCAACGCAAAGCACCAGCATGCAGATCAGCCACACACTGTTATCACTGAACTGAATGGTTGAGAGCTGCAAATCTGCTTGTATCATCTTTTTTTCCTTCCCAGTGATGCATGCTATACCAGGAAGTCTCAATGCCTGCAACCTTTTTATAGCCTAGTGACTGCACCACGACTCTGCTTGATGCACGCTTGTGTAGAGACATTTGTGAAAACTTCCTGACTACACAGCTGCTTCTAAGTCTCCCCTTGCAGCCTTCTTCCTTGCTTGCTTCTTTCATCTGCCGCTTTTCCTCTCCCACTCACGGGCTTCACTGCAAATGGAGTTTAACCCCTTTCTCAACAGTTTAACAAGCCTGGTCACTAAGATTTCTTTCCTTTCTGGTCACTTGGGTTTCATGTTCTCTGTTCTTCAGTCAAGTGGCATCCAACAAGACGCCAGCCTGAAGAAGCTGACTTCTCGCTGTCAACATCATCAGCTGCACAGCCAGGCACCAGTCTGCCAGATTCTCCCAGCTGGGCCATTCTCCCCTACCAGAAGGTCTGAGTCCCTCACTTGAGCCCTCCACTGCCCCAACACTTGCTTCCAGGGCCCTATAGTCACATTTTATCTGCTCAGAGTCTCCTCTGACATGTGTTCATATGAGTAACTGAGCAGGAAAGAACACAGTTGCTGGACAAGACTCCGTAATCTTCCCAGAACATCACGGATTTGGGCAGGTAATAAACAGATCAGGCTGGCATACAGGTGCTGCAATACCAGACAGCAGGGGACTTGCTAAACACTAGCGCTCATCACTGATTTTGATACTGCTGGTTCTAATCTGAAGAGCTGAAGCACATGGCCAGAATCTTCCTCTGATGGTGCTCACTTCTGCTGTGTCAATGAGGCCACAAATGTATTCTCTATTAACCACTGCAAATGCTGAATTGCAGACACTCTCACAGTGCCAGAAGTCCCAAGCTTCCTCACTCCTGAGAAGGCTGGGTCCTCTTGCTGCTTCTGTATTGCCTTGGCCGTATCAAGATGTTGAAAAGCTCCAGTTTTTCAGATTGTCAGCAAGAAGGTGAGACACACAATTCCAGGTTTCCAACGACAGGTTAAGAGGAAGAGATCTAAACACTACTTCTTCTCCAAACTAGAAGCTCCTTGGCTTCTCAAAGAGGCTCTCCATCAACAGAAGGCCCTGAATCTTTGCAGCTCTCAGTGACGAGTTAGTTTTGTGTTCACACTTGGCAGAACATATGTGCCTGAGAGTGATCTGAACAGCTTCAAGCAAAAGAAAGCAAGCTGAATGTAACAATAAAAATAAGCTGTGCTGAGTAAAAGCTTTCAGTAGAAGAATAAAAACAATATCTTAATCAAAGGACAAAAAAAGAAAGAAGGGATAGGTAGAAAACATGGAAATCAATCCATGTCACAATACTGCCTAGCACAAGAAAGGAAGTTAGTGAAAGAGAGAATAACCAAGCAAGCATAGTGACAGAACAGGCTGACCAGCACTGACTACAGATACAATCTAAGGGTTAATGTATTTTAATATGCTGATATTAAATTTAAAATATTAAGTATTTAAATAATATTATTACACGGTTTTAAAAGTATTTAATAATTTCAAATCTGCTTGGTAGTAGAGATAAAAAAGTTCAATTTACATCTTTTGCTTTTCAACCATTATACAAATTAACCAAAAAAAATGCTGCTTCACAAGTCATTGCAATTACGTATGCCTTACATCTTAAAAACTGTTCAGCAACGTTATACTTTTAATGTTCGATAGGAATCCGAGTTTTCTACAGAGTAGACTGAGCACGTTTTTAAAGCCTTGTTTTCAGAAACATGGTACAATTGTTTGGTATTCAAATTCGCTTCCTATTTAAGAACGGCTTTAAAATTTACATTGCTGTACTTACCTGACCTCTGATGTCTATATCAGCGTATTTATGGAGCAGGGCCCTCACAATTTCAACATGACCTCCTCTAACAGCCCCAATCAGAACTGTATCTCCACTCTAAAAAAATTGTGAAAAAATACTGAAGATTAGTTAATACTATCTAGCAAAAAGAAATGCAAGAGAATAAACTATAGCCTCTAAATGTACATTATGCCTACTTACATTAAGAAATCTGCACTCATTTTAAAGATACAAAAAATATTTATGTCTCTGCAAGTAACGAGTATACAGAAGACAAAAATCTGCACTCCATTTTTAATATTTTTTTGCAAAAAAAGAGGTGAAATATTATATACTTATGGCTAAACAAACACCCTAAAAAAGGCCCAGCCTAAACCACTATCTTAAAAAAATAACAGCACAAACTAATAGTGAATATGAAAAAAATCCAGCTGTTCTCTATGTTCATAGGAAGACCAACCACTCACAGTTATGACCTCTTTACTATCAGACAAGAATGTTGGCTGTCTCCTTTAGATGTTTCATAGCTGACAAAAGATCTTCAAGAACTTTAAAGAATTTTACCCCTCTTTTTGGGCAGATTTGGCTGCTATCTTGTTTACAAACACGATGCTGCTATAAAGAAAAGAAGCAAAAGGCTGATTTCATCTCAAATTTATTTAAAGAAAAAATACCTTGCTGTAGTAAATGGAGTTGTCTATATGTAAAACAAAGTTACAATTCTGCTTCTGATTTTAACACATATCAGGATATGCCAGAATTTCAGAAAATGAAATTCTGGAGTTACCTAATACTTTTTTAATGAAGAAACAGGTAAAATAAATAAAAGTACAGCTAAATCACAGCCATGGATTTCAGTTAGAAAGCTCAGTAGTAGTAGATCCCCTATCAATCACATTCTTTACATACCTGGCAGCAAACCAAGAAATTTTCCTTATCAAAACCTACTCTAGCATCCGAATTTAAAAGTATTCATTGTTTGATGCATTTTTGGAATACAGTCAGCTGTACCAAAAGCTGTACCTTATCCTTCCCAAAAGCACATGAATTCAAACAGTTGTAGAATTCTGTGACAGAAGAGGTGGGAAGGGAGACTGCAATGTATTTTCTTAAATACCGAAAGTTTTATTTGATATATGCCTGAGATTGAATTTGTTGTGTCACATGAAGCACTGCAGCTCAGTACAAAACTATATAAGAAATGCTCTAAGCTGACACCTGAAATATAGAAAAATGCATCCAAAAAAATCCTTTTAAAATCATGGAGGCAAATACTAGGAGGTTTTCTTCCTTCTCTGCAACCCCATGCAATTCAATTTAGGCATTGGGAATTGAGCCTCAAAAACCATACTACTGCTCTGAAGTAAAACACTGATCTTAGCAGAGGCACCTAAGTTTAGTATCTAATCACCTATAGCCTGAAGGGTGCAGTGCTTGGTCTGCCTCTGACACTTCAGAAAAACCTATCAAGAGGACACTGTAGACAGTCCAAGATACCTATATAAGCAACCAAATAAACCCCTGAGTGACTAGCAAGCAGATTCCCACTCTGGTCACTGTCCATACTGCATGCCTGTCTCGACTGAGCAATGCAATCACAGCTCAGGTACACGGTGCACCTTTCAACAGTGACATCTGCATGTCTACATCCAGAGCTGAAGTCTTCCCCTAATACATGTAAGTTTCCCAGTAAAAAGTTTCATTCTAAAACATAAAGGTAGATGCTGAATTAAATACATTATTTATAATAATATCCATGGTTTTATAATTTTAACTGCACTACCAAATGTATTAATACACAAAAACCCCATCCCAAACCTGCAAGTTAGGTCAGTATTACTCTTACACAACAGATTATGACAAACACACAACCATTTCCATACCCTATGGAAACTCACAATTCAAGAATCTCACAGAAAAATAGTAGTTTCTGTAGTTTATCCTTTACCTTTACACAGCAACACTTGACACTTAACATATCTGTGGGCCTGCTACTGAGCGAAGTGGGTGCCCTAGTGACAGACGATACAGAGAAGGCGCAGTTACTGAATGCCTTCTTTGTCTCTATCTTTACTGCCAAGGCCATCCCTTGGGAGCCCCTGACCTTTGAGACCACTGAGGAAGTCAGGAAAAAGGCAGACATTGCCTCAGTTGAAGAGGACTGGGTTAGAGAACAGTAAAGTAAACTGGGCACCTACAAATCCATGGGCCCTAATGGGATGCACCCACAAGTGCTGAGGGAGCTGACAGAGGTCACTGCTAGGCCACTCTCTATCATCTTTGAGAAGTCCTGGAGAAGAGGAGAGGGGCCTGAGGACTGCGGGAAAGCCAATGTCACTACAGTCTTCAAAAAGGGTGAGGAGAGGACTTGAGTAACTACGGACCTGTCAGTCTCACCTCCATCCTGGAAAGGTAATGGAACAGCTTGTTCTTGGTGCCATCTCAAAGCATGTCAAGGAAAAGAGGCTTATTAGTAGTCAACATGGATTCACCAAGGGGAAGTCATGCTTGACCAATCTGGATGGATTGATGAGGGCAGTGGATGCGGTTGACCTTGACTTCAGCAAGGATTTCAACACCGTCTCCCATGACATCCTCACAGCCAAACTTAAGAAGTGTGGATTGGGAACTGGCTGAAGGGCAGAATTTAAGAGAGGTATGGTCAGTGGGGCACAGTCTAGCTGGAAGCCTGTGTCTAGTGGTGTTCCTTAGCAGTCGGTACTGGGTCCAGCACTATTCAATATACTCATCAATGACCTCGATGATGGGACGGAGTGTACCCTCAGCAGGTTTCCCGACGATACAGAAGTGGGAGAAGTGGCTGACAAACCAGAAGGCTTTGCTGCCATTAAGTGCGATCTGGACAGGCTGTACAGTTGGGTGGGAAGAAACTTAACGAAATTCAACAAGGACAAGTGTAGGGTACCGCATCTGGGGACAAACAACCCCGTGTATCAGTACAGGATGGGAACTGACCTGCTGGAGAGCAGCTCAGGGAAAAAGGACCTGAGAGTCCTGATGAACAGAAGGCTGAACATGAGCCAGCAATGTGTCCTCACAGCCAAGAAGGCCAATGGCATCCTGGGGTGCATTAAGAAGACTATGGCCACTAGGTCGAGGGAGGTTGTCCTCCCTGTCTACTCTGCTCTGGTGAGGCCACATCTGGAATACTGCATCCAATTCTGGGTTCCCCAGTTCAAGAAGGACAAGGAACTACCGGAAAGAGTATAGTGTAGAGCCACTGAGATGATAAGGGGACTGGAGCATCTCCCATATGAGAGAAGACTGAGAGAGCTGAGTCTGCTTAGCCAGGAGAAGAGGAAACTGAAGGAGGAATCTCATTAATGCTTATAAATACCTAAAGGGTAGGTGTCAGGAGGATGAAACCAGATCCTTCTCGGTTGTGCACAGCAATAGGACAAGGGGCAGTAGTCACAAACTGGAACAAAGGGGGTTCAACTTAAACATAAGGAAAAACTTCTTTACTGTGAGGATGGCAGAGCACTGGAACAGACTGCCCAGAGAGGTTGTGGAGTCTCCTTCTCTGGAGACATTCAAAAGTTGCCTGGACATGTTCCTGTGTGACCTAATCTAGGTGATCCTGCTCTGGCAGGGGGGTTGGACTGGATATCTTCAGAGGTCCACTCCCACTCCTACCATTCTGTGATTCTGTGACACTTGTAAAACAGCAATACAGAAAAAGACCTCTAGATGGCAGAAAAATTATAAAGCCAGAAAAATAATGTACCCAGAAATTTGTGTACACTGGTATTTAAATATATACACAACTATAAAACCACAATTATGATGTAAATTTACTCACTCTATCAGGAATGTTCACATAAGTTCCAGCATCAAGAAGATCCTGCACGATTTCAGTATGTCCTTCCTTTGACGCAATCATCAAAGCTGTATTTCCATCTTTATCTGTTAAGTTTACATTTGGGTTCCTTTTCAGTATTTCTTTTACTGAGTCAGTATAGCCACCCTTCACTGCTACAATAAGTGCAGTCATAGAATTCTTTAAACAAAAACAACAGATTTTACTGCACAGTGAATACAGAAATCATCATTATATCAGCAGTTTAAATAATAAAAGGACACTCACTGCCATTACTTCAGTTTAATGTTTCAAAGCGTACTTACTATGCTTTTTTCAAAAAAGAAATAAACTAAGCACTACAGTAAAGAACACTTCAAAGGCAAACAGTAAAGCTCAGATTACTTTATTCTAACTCCTGAATGTCACACACATAGTAAAATAATTTTCTTGTCATATGGGAACATAGTATTACCAGAGCATCCAGGTCTTCCAATACCACTCACAAAGAGGTTTTCTGAAGAACTTCAGAAATAATCATATGAATACCAAAAGCTTTTCTAATTTTCCACCTCTCTTTTACTGATTTTGGTTTTATTTTGACAAGCAGTTTAAGAGTCTTACAAAACAAAAAAATTAGGATGTTTTATTTAAAAACAGTATGCAGCTGAAAACTTCTAAAAATTTTCCAGCTTCTGAAAAGGCACAGCAGCCATTAGTATTTTCAAAACGTGCTCTATGTTTGCCTTATTTTTCAGTAGCACTGAGGAATAAGTTGTTTGACATATATGGCTTGGGTATAGAATGAATTTTGATAGCGTTAACCTTCAGAGAACAATAAACTAAATTCATTAACGCATATTAAAATTTACACTTTACATAACAGTGTCAACTGTCAATAAGCCTCCCCAGTTACACAATATTTTTATTAAACAGCACAAATTAATTTAAATAAACCTCACATGTAGTCTGCAAACAGCTGGAAAGTAATACACTCCAACATCAACATCTCATCTTGTTTCATGTATTTCTTGGCATTTGTAATATCAAATAAAACAGGACACGCAGATGTATGTACCCACACCTTGTCACTGGAAAATTAGCAGTTACTTACAGCTCCTTCTTGATCAACATCAGCTCCCATTTGCAGCAAGTATTTCACACACTCCAAATGACCTTTCCTCGCTGCCCAAACCAGTGGAGTGGTTCCATACTGCAAAAACATTGATAACATTTTACCACATTGCTTTCTGTATTTAGTAACACCTACAATCTAGTATTCATCCTGTACTTCCTCACTTTAGTTTTTACAAAAGCTTTATTTGGTCTTGTGAATTAACACAAGCATTTGAAAAGCCATTTTAACTTCTTCTTTCTAGATGTAGCTATAGAATCTTCTATGCAACCTAGGATAGCAAGATTTCCAATAGCTTAGGAAACAGAATACGTATTTGAAGGTATCTTCAGCATACTACGGAAAAACCTCCTGTAAGTATAATGACTTATTCTAGCACACTAATTCTAATCTCATGGGCAAAATATAACAGCTGGTGTTTTTCCAAACAAAAACTCATGTTTTTATATTTTTTTAGTAAAAATTACTATTATAAGAAATGTATCAAGCATTAAAGAAATTAAATACTATATACATATAACTTACTTTGTCAGAGCAGTTCACTTTAGCTCCATGCTGCAGTAAAAGATGTACTATATCTGAGTGGCCCCGTCCTGCTGCCCAAATAATTGGATAAACACTGTATTGCTTAGAATTAAAAAAGAGAAATAAAATTGTAGTCTCAATTGTTATTCCTGAACAATATTGATCACAATGCTCCAAGAGATAATAAATCCACAGAAGAAGGACTACACGGGGAAAAAAAAAATAATCTAACTACATACCAGTAACTGCTGCCTAGTAAATTGTCTAGATGTTATCTAGGAAGATGTCTACTGTTTGAATCAATTTTGGTTTATAACTCCTTAACCAAGGCTTAAAAATTCACATCCTCATCTTAAATAAACATTTGTAACAGAAGAAAGAAGCAACAGGCAGCTATGCAATATCCCGAAGTAATCAGAATCACAGATCAGATGTGTCATGCCTGCAGAAGCTGCACACACAAAGCAGATGAAATACCCAGTGAGACAGGTAAGGCACTGGCGTTCTTCCGTCATTGTTCACCATTGACTCAAACACCAGACAGCTAACACTATAAACAAATTGTTCATTCATGTTTCAACATGCTATATTTTATAAGAAATGCTTCTAAAACGAAATTAATCTCAAAATATTAGCTTTCTAATTCACTTTCACATGTATGGTATGTATTTATCTAATCTAGTCCATTTACTAATATAAAACAATTAAATTATTGTTTCTAAATTGCACATTAGTTAGTCCACTAACTGAAAAGACACAGAAAAATGACAACTGTTATGCAAACAGCATTAGATACGCTACATATCTTTTCTATTATTTCCGCTCCTGCTAATTTGAGTCTTATTAAGAGCTATTTGTTTTAATTAAAAAAAAAATAAAATTAATCAAAAAAGCAGTGGCTGTCACACTGATTATTAAAACAATCCCTTTATAAATACAGTGGTTAATGTTACATTGCAAAAAACATGAAGTGTTTAATCAAGATAATACAATGAGTGTATAATTCAGGGCTTTAAACATTTAGAAGAAAGGCTAAAACTTACCATTCCTGTAATGTTCGGATTTGCTCCTTTCTCAAGCAGCAGTTTAGCTACTTCAGTACGGCCCTTATATGACGCCCACATCAAAGCAGTCCATCCTCCCTGGCAAGCACAAGTCAAAGACATATAAAACATGAAAAATACTCTTCAGAAACCTGATTAGTGACTTAATCCATTTTGTATTTGTCCTCAGACTGTTTTGCAAGTCCAAAACATAGTAAGAATTGACTACACAACTTTGCAATCCTACTTATATAGGATAAATAATAAACACATATATGAAAGCACTGATTTCCTGCTGTATGGAAAGCTTAGAATACTGTATCCTGAACACTCAAGAATTTGGTGTAAACACTCAATGCAGATTTCAAGTGCATAAAAATCCAATCGCTGGACAAACAAATCAAAAAGAAAGCATTATCTTAAAACAAAAGTCTATTAACACTAAAGCAACTATTTCACAGCTGTAAAAACAATATTTAAAAATATATTCTTTTCCATTTTAACAGCACTAAGTATACAATTTAAGAATAAAAAAATCTTTCATTTGTTTTACAGAACTGAAAAACTCCCAGTCTCAAAATTGTTATTCTTACTACAAAGCTAGAAACTATTTTATTTTCACACTAAGAAAACACATACCAGATCCCTATGCTCCAAACTGACATTATAATTGAGCAGCTCTGCTACAATAGCTGCATGTCCTTCTTTAGCTGCTGAAATAAGAGCTGTCCAGTTATCCTAGAAAAAGGAAAAACCATTTTTAGTGATAGTGAATATTTCAACACAATTACATCTTGTTTTTAAAGTGTTTAACTCTCAATATGAAATCTAAAACACTTTTTAAAAGCTGTCCTTAAAAAAAAAAAGTAATAATCATAGACTACCTGCCAGTTACACACATGAATATAAAGACCAACAAACTACTTCAAATCTCCCCCTCCAATTATCTCCTTTCCTACCCAATATCCATCACTCTCCACTCCTCAGTTCACTGCAGGTTAACTTTTTAAAAATTTTATGGAGGAAGCAACACTTACAAAGGATTGGGGAATGAGATCAAGACATTGAGAACTGCTGGGTAAGGATAAGATGGCAACCAAGACCACAGAAAATGGTGGTGGTCTGTCTCCCCATACAATGGGTGACAGCATCCAAGAGGCTCATATATAGGGGAATTTGGACCACAGCTTCTTTGATTTGTGACCACTTCAGGACATACATTTCCTCTTGCATTACACTTATCTTTCTGCCACTGTTGAAACCATGTCCAGGTGTGGACTATTGCTTTATGGGCTATACACATACATAAATATAGCACCAGTATACATGATAACTGCTCTTTCTATAAGTATAGGAACTGTAACATTTACAGCACATGTAATAGAATCTCCAAATATAGAAACATTTGCTCTTTCTTTTTTAAATGACAGGTTTCATACCAGATCTTTCCTGGATGTCTATACTACCAGAATGAAACTAAGTGCAAAAGAAAAAAACACGAGCAAGATCCTCTTCCTGTTTATCACTCTTTATGGAATGTATAGACCTTTCAAAACTTTTTAACA